GTCAACTCCTCCAGCAGGAAATCTAGGGTGAGAGTTCCAGGCCTGTGGCACTGGAATTCCCAGCACTGGACATGGGGAGGCAGGCAGAAAAAGTAGTGGGTCCTCCCTTCCTGCATCTTCTCCTACAAAGTCACTTCCTGCCTTAACTTGTCTCTAAACAGGCAAGGAGAGTCCCGCGGGCCCACATTGGATCTTCGACCCAAGCAGCAAATCAGAGGATGGGCAGACAATGCTTGCTTGATCCTGGGGCATTATGTGCACATCATTGACTGGTTCTCATTCCTCCTTATCTAGAAACGAATGTAAGGGGCTTCTGAATGCCTGTCTTGCTGTCTTCTTCACTGTTGAGATTACCATGTTTTTATTACCATGTGACACCCTGTGTCATCATGGAAACACCTCCATACCTCCCCCTCCCTTGACCAGGACAGGCTCATGCTCTTCTGTTCTCTTCTCCCCAAGGCTGCTTCTGGGCCTCCTCCCATCTCAGCAGCATCTTCATCTTCCCAGAGTTACATTCCTCGTTTGTAGACATGCAGACAGTCCTCGCCTGACTTCTCCCTTCGTCTCCATAGCCATGTGGTTGGCGTGCTTGCTATAGACAGAGTGCTTATCACTCCTTGTTCCAGTGACAGAGCCCAAGAAAAACAGTCTTTTATTTAAGGCATCAAGAAAGAAATTAGGTAGGCATTCTTTTCCGTCCTCAGAAATGGGCTTCCATGGGGCAGGGGTCCTAACCTTTATTCTCTGGCAGCAGCTGCTCAGTAAGTGTGGGGTGAGCACAAGGGAGACTCTTTCTGTCAATAGACTTCATTCATAGCCTTAGCTGTTCACCTAAAAATAGATCCCAAACAGTTGGAAGTGTACAGGACAGTGGTCTGACACAAAAGCATGCTTGTGGGTAGTTTTAAAACTAAGTGGCAAAGTTGATTGCACTTCTGTCATGCCACAGAAGGCAGGTCCACCCACCTGTGTAAGCGCCTCTCAGAGTCAACTGTTTAATAAAACTTAACAAATGCAGATCAAACTCCTGCCATTCATCCTCCTGCCCAAGAGGATCTATGGAGGCAGATATGATGACTAATCTGCACAGGTGGCACGTTGTCACTGTGTGGAAAGAGCCACCATGCCAATGAGGCAGGTAGGGCCAGGCCAAGGCAGGACACTGGGGCTCCCTCTCTGGGCTTTCTGGTTTCCTTCCCACCTGCAAGCATAAAGTCTCACCATGGTTTCCTATCCAAGGAGGGTGGGGCAAACCATGAGGATACGGTTAAAACAGATGCCACCCCATCAGGCCTATTACTGGAGAGAACCAAGGCGGGGTGGGGGGGTGGGGGGGTGCCCAGGTGGCCTCAGCAGGGACTTGCCAGTGGCTAGAGTGAAGGCAGCTGTGCTCTAAAAACCAAACAGTAGTAGGAGTGGGAATAGGGCAAGGGCAGCATTTGTTAAATGTGGAAGTACTGCAGCATGCTTGGTACAGGCTAGGAGGTATAAAATACTGGTGCCAAAGCCACTGTGTCAGCCAGAAGGTGAACCCCAGTTCACAGGGCAAGCAAGGTTCAGAGCCCTCCGGAGCTGGGGAAGGGCACCTTTGCTTGCTTCTGCTTCATGCAGGAGGGTGAGGGAGTGGAGCAAGGGAGAGGCGGTGTGACAAGTCAGAAGAATTCTCTATCCTTCTGTTGGGAAAACATAGTTAAGATTGAAAGTGACTGACACTGATACCAGCTAGTATGGTGCTGTTTCCCGGCTCAGCTCAGTGACAGTAGCTGCCCTAAAAGGCTGGATAAAGTTGAGCTTCTGGTCCAGAAAGCTAGAGGAAGAAGGGTGCAGAGAGGTGAGTTTGCAAGAATGAGTTTTGAGTAGCACGTGACACCAGCCCTGCTGTGTGAGGAGACAGTGGGGTGGGAGGGAGAGGTTAGATTGGGAAGAGCCAGGGGTCACTAGAGCAGAGATCCTAGTCTTGCTACTGGTAGTCCAGGGTGATGACCATGGTAGTCAGGGGAAGAAGAGGGCCTGACAAGGGCAGAGTGGAGACAGGAGGCCACCTGGGAGGACTGAGATGAGCTGCTGCTGAAACAGTGGATAGAGACGTCGCCTGGAGAATAGACACATGGTCTGGGGATGTAGCTTCCAAGGGGATTGGGTTTGAGGGAGAAAGAGTTGTCTTCAAGCAGCAGTCAGGGGTGAGGAGGAACCTAGTTCTGGTACTTAGAGGGTGGAAATCCATTCACCATCACACAGGAGGCATATTGCCAGGGAAGAGCCAAATTCCAGTTAGTCCAGGGTGAGCGAGCCTTCTAGGAAGTGGCTGCAAGTGCGGGAGAGTCTGCCCCCCCAGGCTGGAAAAGCAGCTCAGAGTCCCATGGGGCTTCCCACAATTTGAGGGGGCTGTTCTGTGCATATTGGACATTTCTCAGCATGTCTGCATTCAACCGTTGCTGCCCGAAGCACCTGCACCCTGTCATTTCATAACCAAAAGTGTTTTTAACCAGTGCCACGTGGTCTGGATGGTGTTCCTGGCTGAGAAGCAGTGGGTGGGTGGAATGCAGAGCCCTGGGGACAGAAGTACTGCTTGAAAACAGGATGAAGTGATAAGGGGCTGGCTCTGCCAGGCTCCTAGCAGGTGGCTGTCACTGCTTCCAGGCATCATCTTCCCAAGAAAGCCACTTAGCCATTTCCCCAGTGAGCCAGGGTCTCTCCCGAACTGTGGCTACTCCCAGGTACTGAGAAATGAGACCGCCGTGTTCTTGTCAGTTCTTTTGGAAAGGGCTTTCTGTAGCTCAAAGGGAGGAAGATACCTGGAGACAGGCATGTGTCATTTCAATTCCCAGAAAGGTGAATTCTGAGCTCTTCCGCCAGTGAGCTCCACCCAGGTAGGATTCTGAAATAAAGTGTCAGAGATTTCCTTGTGTGCCCATAGCAAGGGAAACCTCCCTTTATCTGAACATGAGTAGTTCATTTAAAAGAAAACATGTCAGCTGGATGTCAGGTTTTTGTTTTTGTTTTGTTCTGAGAAAGGGTCTCACTACGTAGTCTAGGCTGGCCACTAACTCATGATCCTCCTCCATCTGCTTCCCAAGTGCTGGGATTACAGGCGGATACCACCATGCCTCGCTCACGTTTTTTTTAATTGTCAGAAATATGTGTAAGTGGGCTTGGTGGAGTGGCTCAAGTGGTAGAGTACCTGCCTAACAAGCACAAGACCCTGAATTCTAACCCCCCCAAAAAAGAATGAAAAATATATGTATGGTGGGGACCCATTTAACTCTCAGCAAAGTACTCATTTCTTCATAGGTGATTTGAAAGACATGTGCGCTGGACAGACAGTGTGAGAATTCTTAGGAGTTCCAGGTGCAACTGAGACCTATGAAGGTGTGAGGCTCTGCCTGACCCCATCCTGCTCAGTATCTTTTTCATTGACTTGCACAAGTTGAAGAGGTTCATGCTTAGAACAGCCGAGACTGACCTCAGACTTGAGAATCCTGGATCTTTATCTTAACTTCCAGAATCCTTGAAATTTAATTTAATATATTTAGGCAATTGTTTAAACTTTTGAAGGTGGTCTACAATAGCAGAATTTTCATACCTAGATAAAGTACTATTTAATTTTTTAAAATTCAGAAGTGCCATTCCCAGCTTTGGAAGGTTCATGTCTTTATAAAGATGTGGTTTGTACTTACCATTTGGATATTAAAAAGGTTTCTTAGCTAAGGACATATTTGTGATAATGATTTCTGGGTGTTATCAGAAAGAAAGTAAAAATGAAAGGGAGGGAGGGAAGAAGGAAGGACGGACAGACAGACTGACTTAAGACACTTGGAGTGTAAGACCATGCACTGTTAGAACACAGATAGGTAAGAGGTATGGCAGAAATCAGAGCCAGAAAAGAGGGCTACCACACGTATGGAAGCCGTATGGATTCTGAAGCTCATGTTTGTGTTGTGTCTAGAAAAAGAGATGTACACTTACTTGAAAAGAAAACAGAGCAATGGGAAGGAGTTGATGTCATGGTGCAGCCCCTGCATGCTCAGCATTGCAGCATATTGTGAGGGATGGACCCGTTGGCTGCCCTGGGGACTTGATCTGGCTTTCTCATTGATAGATCCCCAGCATCTAGAAGGTGGCTGGCCCACAGTCCATCCCCAGAAAGTAGCAACTGAGTGAATGCAATGTAGTGCTCAGGGTTTTCTGTCTTTTGAGTGATAAGCATGCTGAATCATGAATAACGAATTCTCAAGATTTGGGAGGTGTACCACCCCCCCGCCGGGCTTCTCCATCTCGTGTTCTGCGTGCTCTGTGTCCTGGTGGAACTCCATGTTGCTTCCTAATCACTTAGCACTGCTTTACCGTCTCTTCACTAAAGATAAAAATAATAAGTTGAGAGTTTCACTTCTAGTGAGTTACTGTTTTTGCTATTGTTTTTAAAACCTTTAGAAGTAGCTTTAGTGAATCGGGTTTTAGTGAATCCAAACCCCCTGACTTCCAAATGTAACTGTGAGACACTGGTGAGAGTGATGGCCCACCTTCTTGCTAATTATAAGATAAAAGGTTCTGCTCATCCGTAGTATCACAGGAAGGAGAGAGCCCTCATCCTGTGTGTGCATGCAGAATCAAACCCACTGAAATGATGCTCGTGTATGTGTTTGTTTCATTATATCAAGGTAATTGTAGGGAAACAAGAACAAACAACTGCAAAGCATGAGCTGAACACTTGGAAGTCAGGCATTCTGGTGATGAGTTCCAGGACTGCAGTCATGCAGAGCTGAGAGTTTCAATTCTCCATAACGTAAAGGTGGTACAAAGACCTGCCTTTGACTGGCAGCTGGCACATGGCAAGGACACTACGATTGGCTCATGGAGCCTCCAGTCGTCAACCTCATGACTGGGGGTTACATGCAAGGCCTTGTGTGACATCAGAGCAGCGTTGAGAGTGTTTTTGTCGAGTTTCCTTTTTCTGTGCTTACCTTTGCATTCTTTTGCCTTTTCCGGTTCGGTGGCAGACACAGGGCTGGGTGACTCCGTGTGCTCCAGCCCAAGCATCTCCAGCAGCACCAGCCCCAAGCTCGATCCGCCCCCCTCTCCCCACGCCAACAGAAAGAAGCACCGAAGGAAGAAAAGTACAAGTAACTTCAAAGCCGACGGGCTCTCAGGCACTGCTGAAGGTAAGGTGTCTCAGACTCTTCAGGGTGAGCATCTGCTTTGCTGAAGGTACATACATAGTGGGTCTTCTGGTGCCCTTAGAATCACCATGCACAGTCATGCATGTCACTGCAGGTGATGGGAGGGCTTTGGGACCTGCTCGTCACCCCGCCTCTTAAATGACTCAGCTAAAGCCTTGGTCTTACACTGGTAGATGGCAGTGCTTGGTCCCCATCTAGCACCTGGCCAAGTCCTGAAGTCTCACCCCACCTTTGCACCCTGGAGTGTCCACTCCAGGTGTAGGGGTGATGCAGCACCATCACCCTCCTCATTTGGGGTTGTCTGATATTGGCTGCTCTTGACTGGCTCCTAAAACAGTTGGCTCATCTCTGGCTTTTGGCAAGATGTTCTGCCAAGGCCTCTTCTTTCAGTGCCGTCGACTCTACCTTGTGGCTGTCAGCATTCCAGGTGTCACAGCCGGTCTTGAACTCACCTTTCCACTTGTCAAGTCCTTAGTCTCTGTGAGGGCCAGATGTGATCTTTTTGACGTGGCTTCTGCAAGTGAATTTGTATTTTCTCCACAGAGCAAGTGCAGATATGTGCACTTGAAGATGCATGTTCTCTCTCTTTCTCTCTGTCTCTCTCTCTCTCTCTCTCTCTTTCACACACACACACACACACACACACACAATGAGAGGTAAAATTAATGCAACTATAACACAAGTTCCAGAGAAACTTTAAAAGAAAATTAAACTTCCAAAATGTTTTTGAGACATAAGTTATTATTTGTGAGACTGACAATAGCAAGTTTGTCTTCCACAAGGGCTCCTCGTGCTCAGGAATGCCCTTTGTTACTTAGATCTTCTCTCTTGCCCTGTTTCCACCATACTCTCTCTGAGCACTCTACTAGGTTGTAAGCCTTAGGAGGGAAAGTGGCCCATCTCTCCCACATCCAGAGATGATTCTGTGACCCCCACAGCCCATATGAGCATTGTGCAGAACACTGAGTGGAATGGCCCATCATTTGTGAGGTGGGTGGTGGTGGTCAAGGTGTCACAGGAAGATGGAGTTCCAGAGCCTCACAGGGCTCCACTAGGGGCTGGAAGCCTTTCTCCTTCACCATGGGTCTTCCTGTTCTGCTTCCCATGACTTCCCGCTAACAAGGTTAGCCAGTGAAGACTGATTTTCCCACTTAGTGATAAATGAGTAGGATGCTATGGTGTCAGCAAAGGTGGAAAGCAGTGATGGTGAGTCCAGCACCCAGTTGGATCCACTGCCTTCCCTCTGGGAAAGGTTCAGTACAAAAAGAGCATAAAAAGAGCATTGGTGAGGCTCCTTCCAATACCCAGTCAGCCCAAAGCTGCTGAAGTACATGAGGGGCTGACCCAGGGCAGCAGTGCTGCCACCCCTCCCGACAAGGCCGTGCAGGGGAACTGGAAGGAAGAGTTCCTCAGATAAGCACCGCACAGCGGATGTCATGTGTTTCTGGCTGGTGTCTGGGACTTTGTTTTAAAAGCATGATGTGGTAGAAACTGAGTAGAAACCAAGTCCACCTGTTATCACTTGTGTACATTTTACCCCTCCCTCCCACGGTCTTGCTGCCATGGGAGCTGTAGGTAAGACAGAATCTGACAGTAAATCCATAAGTTGTTTGTTTAGCCACTTCTCCTCAGGCAAGAGAAGTGACCTGCTGCCCCCCTGACGTGTTCTGAGTCCACTTCCCGAGCTCGTGGAATTGGCTGGTGAGCACTCACCAGGCTGGGGCAGAGAGGATCTGTCCTAGCAGCGGTCACAGATCCCTTTCCCCGAAGTGCTCTGAGGGGGTGACGCAGACAGGCCCCAGGGAAGCACCCCGATTAGAAAACCTCAGCCAGGTTTCACACAAGGATGAGGGACTGGTGACGCACGTGCTGGCAAAGGGTCCACAGGGGAACTGCCCCTTACTCCCTAGTGATGCCTTCCCACAGAAATAAGCAAAATGTCCTTCATAAAAAGTGCATTATAATTTTTCTCTGGGAAAAGTTAGCCTGTCATACTATAAGTGAGTCATTTCTATGAGAAATGAGACACTCTGCATTTCATTATTTCTAAGGCAAAAAAAAAATTGGGGGGAGAGACAGTCTTAGTATGTAGCCCAAATTGGCCTTGAACTCACAAACTCACAACCCTCTGCGTCAGCCTCCCAAGTGCTGGGATTGCAGACTGCGCCACACACTGTAATGTTCTGAAGTCCGATTGTACCTTCCGTTGAGGGATGCGTTTTAGATTCAGTGCTCCTTTAAATAGTCTGACTATTGCTTCCTTGCGAACATTGTGTAAACCACCCAAAGTAAGCACTCTGCCCTGAGCTTGAAGCCAGTTACCTGCATTTCCGTTTGTGAGGGTGTTAGTCACAAGAACTCATTTCTGTGCTTCATGCCTGTGCCCCTGTGTGGCACGGCCCCCAGCTAAGGGGCTGCCGTTGGAGATCAGGACAGTCCGCAGGCATCCGTGACGCAGGTGAATCTCGTGGTTTCCTGTTGTAAGAGATGAGTAGATTCAAATCTCTCAAGAGCAAGAGAAATGAAATCACATGGACAGTCCCCTAACGTGGTTGGCATCCCAGAGGATAATGGATGGAGCCTCAAGCTGGTCATTGTGGACTTCTTCTAAGGGCATCTTGGGGAGTGCGGAAGAGCCTGGGGAGGAGAGGGTCCCAGAGGGGAGCCATAGCCGTCAACAGAGGGACACGTCCAGTCCAGCCATGGGGCTGCAAGGTTCAGAATCCAAGGATGCATCCTAGCCACCCTCTCTTCCCTTCCTCTCATCTTCTCTGCCCCCTCAACCGAAGCCAGCCAGGAGTCAAAGGGCCTCATGGGTCTGCCCCATGTGACCTCTGTCACGTCCAGCCTGGGGAAATCGTGCTGGTGACCCTTGCTTATCTTGCCATAGACCAGAAGCTCCAGAGGGCACCATCCACTGTCACCTCTTGAGGGAGCTACCAGGGTTTCCTGCACTGTCCACGCCATCCCCAGCTACCACACTGGCTTCCTGGCAAAGCGCAAGGCTGCATCGCCCTACCTTTGTGTTGTTTTATCAGAAAGCAAAGGCAGAAAGTGTGTGTCGTCACTATTTGTGCCACCTCCACTCAGAAACTCCATCCTCTGAGCCTTATGCCAGTGTGCCAGATGGAAACAGGGCTCCTGCCACCCAGCTGCTCACCATCCCTCTCCACGTGCTTCCCCAGCCTGTGGAAGAACACCGACGACTTCTGCCCTGTGCAGGGAATGGCTTGCCCAACTTAAGTGGAACCATTGTCTTCTTAATTTAAAATGATTAGATGGACCTAGTAAATTACAGACACAGACACCATGACCAAAGAGTTCCTTTTGTTTATGAGTATTTTGGGTTCTAACCTGGCAACTCCATTGACTCCTATGTGGTGACCGGCAGAGCATTTTTGATGATCACACCAGTCACTGGGCTCATGAAGAACCTTTAGCATCATTTAGAGACTTACAAGATGTAAGAGAAATGTAACCCTGGTGAATCCTGGAGGTTGTGAGAGGCAAAAAGCTGCGTGGTAACCTTGCCCTTTCTGATTCTGGTTCCTGTAGAATTTAATGCAGTGTTACTCACAAAGGTGGATGTATGCCCAGATGTCCTATACCTGAGACCTGAGGCTGCTGGCTCTGAGCAGTGAGGGGCACCGCCACCCTGGTATGCAGGGATCCCGGGCCATTCCCAGGTGTGTTCTGCCTCCACCTGCCAGGAGCCTCGCCCAGTTAGGCTGTTCCTCCTGTCTATACAGTCTCTATAAGTATGTAAAGGTTTTGCAACTACTGTGCCCGCCTCTGTAATATTAGGCAGCTTTGTGATGTTTTCAGTCAGGAAAACTTGACAGAAGTTATTGTTCTACCAGTAATTTGGCTCCAAATCCCAGAGGAATAATAAGGGTTGGTTGCTCAACTTTTTTATTAATTTTTTACTACTTTCTCTTTCGACTACATTTAGAGCTTGTTTAAATTCTGTAGGAGCTGGGTATAGCAGTTCATACCTGTAATCTCAGTTACTTGGAAGGCAGAGATAAGAAGATCACAGTTCAAGTAGAAGAGTGCTTGACTAGCAAGCATGAGGCCCTAAGTTCAAACACCAGTACCACAAAAAAAAAATATATATATATACACATATATATAGCTATACATATATATAAATATACATATCTATATATGTATATGTATACACACACATACACATATATATGTATATTATGTATATATATATATAAAATCAGGAATAAGACACGTTGGCACTGATGGCACAGTGGAAGAGTGCTTTTGGAAACCAGCAGCCTCTAGCCTTAACTACACAAACACAAAGAGAGCAGGAACCTCTTTTACCCTGTTCTGCTTGTAGTCCCCAAATTCCCACCTACTAGACCTTCAGAACATCAACTGGTAAAATCCCTGTGACACTTTGGATCCGAATGGGATTTGATTTGGTGCGGATTACTAAATATACTTAAGAAAATGTCATGTGTCTTTCAAATCTGGAGATTGTGAACCAACGAAAGTAACTTCAGATGAGCCCAGAGGGGTGGTGATGGAGACCAAGGGACACTGAATAACTAGGAGAGCAGTTGTGACAGAGGGCATGGGGACATGCACAGTTGAAGGAAGGCCCATTGTGGTTGGGACCCATGGCAGAAGCTTCAAGGAGATGCATTTGGGTACTGACATTAGAAGGAAACTGAGCCAGCCTGTGCTAAGAGGCAGTGATCCCCAACCCTGCAAGGGGTGCAGCACTGGTCAGGCCATTGTGGAGGAATCAGGGCTGTGGAACGGTGCTGGCGAACACTTCTGGGCCGTGAGGATACTCCTGGTCACAAATGGCCTGTCATTGTCTTTGAATTGCAGCACTTTCCAGGTACGCTTCTTTCCAGGTTAGCATCATCAGCAGTGACGCTGACGTTGCTCAGATGAAGCCTGGGTCTCTGCAGTTCTGTGGCCCCGAACCCCGGTGGTTCTCGTTAGTTTTACGACAT